AACGTTCACCAAGAAACATCGACAAAATCCATGATTAGGTGGTAGTCGACAAGTGAAGATCCACGATATCGTTAGCAGTTTCGTGGGCATCACAACTGAAATTTAACGCATTTTACATGAATATTTAGACATGAAATAACTATCAATATGATGGCTGTATATACTATTTGGTGATATTTAATCACAATCTGGCCAAGTTCTTTTGCCGTTTCAGAGACAACTAAATTGGCTAAAGTAGATTTATCGGCAAACAAGAGGTTATGCCGACAGTTCTTTTAAGATACACGTGGTATGCTTGAGATCGGTTGTTTAATGAAGCGTACGATTACCGGAGAATATTGTTGACGGCTTTAGTCACAGATTTGAACCATATGATTGTGGCCTATTTTCTAACTTTTACATTTAGGCGAAAGGAAGAAGTGTATTTTGAGAAATAATAAGGCTAAATATACAATTTATTTAAAAAATCACTGATTATAGCACATGTAAATTTGAGATGAAAAGAATAATAAAATGAAATAAAAAGTTTTATTCGTTAATGTGGTCAGTCGATAGAAAGGTGATCAATTTGTCACTACATGCAGTTCTATTGTGAGCTAAAGCGAGAAGTAAGTTTTGGCTTCTTATAAACTCCTCTTCGGTCAAAGCGTACACTATTGACACTGAATTTTTATTTTAAACGATCTTCAAACACTCAGTAGGACTACACCTTCCTACAGAATCTTAAAAATTTGACCCAACGCCATTTAGAACACGTAGACTTTATAGACAGGTTTGAAACTGATTTTAGATACGGTTATATTCCAGGTTAAAGCAACAATGTAGTTAATCACTACTCGTGACATTAAGACAATTCAGGATGGAGCGTACTTTAATTTTGTGTTATCTATAATCAGTGAAATTTTGCAATTGATATCGGGTCAAGAAATTTCGTTCCAAATAATCATTTGTTCCAATCATTCAGTTTCGTGTTTATTTATACAAAATTTTAAAACCCTGCTTTGACGGCTTGTAAAGATTTTTATTGACATCGACATTGATATTGCTATTAACTGCAAACATATTCTTATACAGCTTTCGTATTGATCCCTTTTTTTGGGGGTAAAAAAGATTTCATTTTCATGGCCTTTATCGAAACACTTGTGAAGGATGGGATTATTTATTAGAATGTGTCCCTTCAATTTATAAAATATTAACATGGGAATGGGAATTCAGATTCTTAAATAAATTATCACAATTATTTAGTGTTAGACATTGTTCCACCTCTAATTGGATTCTATAATTAAAAAACGTCTGAAAATGAGACACACAAAATTCTTGTCCTGTACGTTGTTAGAAGAATGCCTAGCTAAGAATAAGGTAGGTGTAATTAGCTATTTAATATCCTCATATCACTAAATCCTTTTTGATCATGGTATAAAAGACTCCAATACTAGCTGTGCGAATCATAATATGCTGACGTTCGCACCATAATTTATTAAAGTATCTGATGCCATTCCATCTACCAGTCACAGTAAACTAAACGTAACCCGCGTTTGAATTCATAAAACTTCCAGAATAAGCAGTGAATATAAAATCAATTGTTTCATTTTAATTGGCGTCCAGATTTTCAATTGGAGTACCATCACCCCCATGGGCCCATATCCATTTAGTGGTTATAAACCCATATTGAGAATGACTAAAAAACAATTAAAATGTATACATAAATAAATAAATAAGAAATCTATCATTCGCGTACGTTTGTATCAGGGGGAACCACACTATATGAGACTAAAGATATATATACAGATATATAAATCCGATATCTTGTACTCAGTTCTCTAACAGTTTCCACTTACGCCTTTCGCCTGGGGACTTTGTAGGCTCATCAGAATGGATAAGAAAGTGTGGAGACATATCTGTATGTCAAGAAAAGTAGCCATCAGTTATTGTGTCCATTCTTGTGATTCACTATAATAGTAATAATATGGTAAGATAAGAATAAGAATAATATGGTAAGATAAGAATTATAATAATAATAATACTAATAATATTTGTACTAATAATTATAGTGATAATAATAATAGTAAAAGTAATAATAAATGGAAAGACTTAAGGCTGGCACTTATTATCAGTGATGCTGCTTTTATTTGGAAATAATTCGATTAGGGAATTAGAGAATCAGTTAGATCAGCTAAAGTTTTAGTAAATAGTCATTTCTTTCATCTCTTATCAATGAAGCAGATAGAGGTCCAGTTAAGTCCCTCTCACAGCCAGCAGATATACGTTTTTGCTGTTATTATGATGATTCCCAAAGTCGGAGCTTCGAAAACTTATTGAACGTTTAATATGCATATCTTAAAGCGAAATTCACAGAATATGAAGAAGTTACTATAGTAAAAAAATCTCTGGGATGTAAACAGTATACCTATATTGGCATAAAAAATTTTGGTGAGATATTAAAAAGTTTCTGTTGTCAGCGTGGTGGAAATGCACCAAATGGATTGAGTCAGAATCTTAAGTCACTTGATGGAATACATCAATGCTTTGTTACAGAATTATTAATACAGAGATCCACAATGTTAGTATTAAGTAATTTGTTGAGATACTCCACAAGTAAGAAGGGAGCTATATTCTCTCTCTTATGGATAACAACAATGACGATTAAAGCAAACGTTTTCATTTTAGTTACAGGTTTTATCTCTAATACAGAGCTGTTGCTGTGTATAAACAAATATAAATATCGCAAAGCATGTGTTGCCTTTTATTCAAACATAAGGATGAATTGTATGAACTGGGAATTGCTCTAAGCGCAATTCATACGAGGCGCTATCTTACTATTACTCGGTAAATAAACAAACAGACTAGTAGCTAATGTATAAAATTTCACTATACGTTATTTTATTGCCGCTTCAAATCTGGTTGTGTTTCTAGCCTATATGAAACATAAATTTCAGCTGCGCTCATCGAAGCATGACATAGCGACAGTGTTCGATCAGATTGCATGCGAATTTCATCTTACGTGTTCGTACGAACAAATCAAATGTGCGTAGTCATATGTCAGTGGTTCCAGTTGCTGGGAACTATTTGCGCGACGTTTTGTCTCTTGACGTTTTGAAATTCATTCGTTCGTGCGAAATCGAAAGTGGAAATAGTGAAATTGAGAGATGCGTGTTGTTTTTAGGTAATTTTATTATTATGAATGGAAATACATTTATAGAAATAGAATTATTTGAAAACACATTGTTACTTTTAGGAAATGGATTGCGATTTGCTAATTTCTTTGGATAAGGAACTGGCAAACTCTTCAGTTTTATGCCTTGGTGAATAAAAATCTTACCTTCCAATTCATCTAATGTTATTTTAAATTAATAAGTACCTGAATAACAGATTTTCCGCTAAATATATTTCATCTTTACTATCAATTTTGATTTCAAGACAATCAAAGCAGCACTGTCAATTCGACTGCAATGTAACCATAATTTAGGACGAGTTAGCAGGTCGTTCGGCAGACCAAATTCGCATGCAGTGTTTAAGATGTTTATTTGGTGCATATTTATTTTAGTAAATATATATTAGTAAGCTTTGAAGGCAATAGCAAATGCAACACTGCGTACTAAGAAACAAAATTAACTATAGCAACACTGCAAGAGGTCAATCAGCTGTTAACATATTCTGCCGCCGAAATAACGTCAACGAATTAATATACGCGCACGCGCTTTTTATATTAAAATAATATAAAATATTAAAATTAATATAGAAAATATTTAAATTTGTTATTTTTAATTTTTTATTTTAGAATTGTAAACAGCGTTAAGTCTAACGAATCAATTGCAATCATTTTTAATATATGTCAAATACTTTTTTTTGACATATTTTTTGTTGTGTTGTTTACAATATAAAATATAAAAATAGTAAACATTAAAAATTAATTAATTTAAATAAAAGACAACAAAATGAATAGTAAAAAAGCAATGGCATTCATTTGTATCTAATATATTTAAATTAATTTATTTATTTATGTATTTGAATTTATTAATTAATGGACTGTTCATATGATTTTAACGGATGATTTTTGATTTTAACGGAATTTTGCAATATATTTTCAGTGAACATGATTTTTGAAATTGATTGCACTGAAACTTAGGCCTTAAAAATTTTTGCAAAAAAAAACCTAATATGGTGTTTACACTGGCCTTAAATGACTGATTTGGGTCAAAAATCACAACTGAGAATTAATTAGAAAACTAATTACTGATTTCTTCATACAAAATGTCATATGCGCAAATGAGATATACGCTTGCGCAATGGATCTCATTTTGTATATATAAGTTCTAACGATTTTCAAATGAGTTTCAAATGCAACTGAATACTTGGACCTATATACCTTATAAAAAAGTTTTTCAAGGCATTTTGACAGTTTGGGAATCCTGTTGTTGTATATTTAACAAAGAGGTTAACAAATTAGCATTTCTTTGGAAACGAAAGAAAACTTCCCAAAAAGTATTTAATCGAATTTAAAAATAAATTTTCAGTTGATATTATATTGTAAGGTTTGAAAGTATATTTTACCTTTATACATTTTAACTTTTATCTTTTTTTAGCACAGGCCAAAATCAAATCATTTGACACGTTGACAAATCAACTGTTTCAAATGAGAATCAATGAATAACAATAAAGGTAAATACTGTCAAATGTCTGATTTGAAATGAATTATTTGCGGTCAGAGTAAGCGCTATATAACTCTGCAGATTTTAAGAGCATTGTGTTTGCTTTACATATTTTCTTTCGTAAGTTGCGAGAATTTTTTTTTTGCTATTTTGATAGAAAACATTACCGCCAATACATATGCTTATTTTTACAAAATATCATTTGTGTATTTACAATTTTTTGTTAATTTAATATAACAATATTTTATAGCATGCTAAATTATTTTTACATATTATGAAATCTAAAAATTGAATCTCTGCTCAAGCTTCGGCTGCACAGCAAATTTGACAAACTAGTTACACAATGAAAATAAAGCAATTTATTCGCGTATGGCAACATGTGCCGTTTCAATTAAAAGAAAATTTTATTTGACATTTGTTTGATTCAGGATGGAGCCCGGCTAGTAAGCAAATGGTGGCGGACATTTTTTTTTGTGTAACAAATATTCTGTTGCAAAAAGTACGGTTTTGTAAGAACGTCTTTTACGCAATATTTAACGCATTGGAAATAATGCACGAAAATCATTAATTTCATGTGTCCAAAAAGTTTATATTAAGCGTGATCAATTCTTAATAGGAAAGCGTTTTAAAAAGGTAAATTTATTAATTTTTGTACAATTTATTTAATCAATTTAATAAAAATTAAGGTGATATAAGTGAGCATAAAAGATTCCCTACCTAAATTGTGTGCACATCTACACGTACAATGGAAATTGCGCAAAATGTACTTCTATATGGAACGAAAAATGAAGCCTGGCGACAAGCGCTTTTTTTTTTTAGAAGTAACTGTAAAATATCATTTGTGGTCGATAAAGAAGTGCTAGCGGCGTCCCGTGTTCATTTAATTAAAATAAAATATTACAATCGGAGTTTAAATGTTGTATAATATATATCATGTGCGGTGATAAAATTTTTTCATAGCGTTTGAGTAAAATATGGCCGCCGGAGAGTTATGTGAAAAGGTAAACTAGTTCAATATTAAATATATATAACTAATTCTTTTAAATATATATATATTTTTAATTAAGAAATATTTTTTTATGTTTATTTGTAGAAAATATTTGGATTCGTACGTGGATGTCTTCAGATGTGTGAAGTATCACCCTGCAATTCAATGGAATTGCACAACAAATGAAGCCCGGCAATATGAATAGCGTCTCAATTGCATTTAAGACGCAATTGCAGAAATTGCAAAAAACTAAAATGCAGAGTGAATATTGCTGATAGTGATACACTTCTGTGGAGGGCTTCATTTAGATAATGTAAATCTTTTACCACAGGACATGTCTTTGAAAAGAACACTACATATAAATGTTTACAACGGCGTTGTTTTAAAAAATTAATCATTTATGCAGCATAAACACAAAAAAAAAAAATAGAAATAAACCTATTATGAATACATAATATCAAAAACTAAGTAGCTGATCAGTACAACAATTATCATCAAACAGTACCAATATTTAATTTAAAACAACTTAACAATTACTTGCAAAATTCTACTATTGAATTATATTCAATAAATTTGATAATAAATTATTATTGTCTAGTATTGCGCAGAAATTGTTATCTCTACCGCAAGGAAGTCAATTAATTCCAATTCAGCAACAAAGATAAACTAGATAGAAGCTAGTTTTATTGATAATACTATATCCACCACCACAACTGGTTCGACGAACTTAAACTGTTCCAGCAGTACCAGTACATGTTCATATACAGAAAGACAAAGAAGAACATTACCTTACAAACCACCGATAGAATTCAAAAGTTTCTTGTCCAAGTGCCGTTCCAATTGATGGTGATGTTTATCAATCACATACGATGAACAATTATCGGATTATTGCATGTGAATTCGAATCCTACAAATGTTCTCAACGAAATATAATACAAATTCGGTTCAACAAACAGAATCTTGCAGATGTTTGATTTTGAAAATTTATAAACATTGTTGAAGACAATTAGTGACAAAGAAGCGTTTCATCCTCTACAAGTCAAGCTCAGGCTCGGGAGTTTAAATTTTAAACAAATTCGTAATCAATGACAAATACGGACATACTAGCACACAGCAAAACTCATTCAGTATGAGTACTGAAGGCGAAATTATATTTAGATGACGAGATCATATTAACAGATATATGCCCTACGTGTAAGGTAATTTAGGCTATAAGTTATTAATTTCAACCAAATATCCTTAAAGGAATTATATATAAAATATTTTATATCAAAAATGCCTTAAATATGTCAGTCATTGTATATATATATATATATTTTTATTACCTTTTTCTTTGCCACAAATCTGATATATATTGATATAATTCACTTATGTGTAAAGTAATTTAGGCTATAAGTTATAAATTTCAACCGAATATCCTTATAGGAATTATATACAAAACATTTTATAGTGAACTTAAATTTTTCATTCGATGTATATATATTTTTTTTAATACCTTCTTTTTTTACCACAAATTGATATATTTTGATATAACATTAATGAACTCGTTTTTATTAAATCTAAAGATTTTAGAAAAAATCAGAATATGGATCTTAATATTCTAATAAGTAATTTTATTATTTACATTTTAATATGCCATTTGTCATATGATATAGATAAATTGTTAAAAATTAAATTATGTACAAGCATTGATGGTTATTGATTAGTTATTATCTCTAAGATTATTAAAAGCCATGGAAGTGGAGTTATACCATACTTCTCTAGGTTGTTAGCCACACATATGAAATCTGTATTTAAGAAAGTTACTATGAGTGTTAAAAACCCTAATGCTTCTACCGATTTACATTATTGGTTCGATGTTACATATTGCCTTGCTTTTTAGAAACATGTATACTCATGTTTATTTATATATTCCGTAAATATCTAATAGAATTTTTGTGAATTTATTCACATATATTGCTGTGGAATTAACTCGATAATTATTAAAGTTATTTACTTGCATTACGTTATTTACTTAGATATATCATTATTTCGAAAATTAATTGCAAATTGACACTGGAAATTTTCATCAGATATTCTCGATCGATTTGAGTAAATTTGAAAATATTCAAATTCTTTTTAATGACTTTGCCGACTTTGTTGGTGCTTCTGCCGATCCATTTGGAGTTGTAAGCGTTCAGATCACCTACTACAAATATAGCTTCAAATAGTGTTTCTACGTCTGTGGCTATTTTCTATTTGTTTGGGGGTCTGTAAACTGAAACTTCTGTGTATTTAGTTTCATGCATGTGTATTTTAACTTCGGTAGTTTCTCATTCTTCTATATCTATCTTGTGTTGTTGGAGTAGTATTTCTGTGGTAACTAGTATGGCTGTACCTCCAGCTCTACCGTTAAGTCTGTCGTTTCTGTAGGTATGGTAATTTGCTGTCTTCCATACTGTTGCTGGCTTCAGAAAAGTCTCTTGTATTAGCATTATGACTGGTCTGTAGTCGATGACAAACTGGTAGAATTCACCTTTTTTTGGATAAAATGGAATGCGCAATCCAGTTGATGATTTTTAGTTTTTTATTCTATTCATCATAATTCGAAAAGGTGGTTAACATCACTTGCATCATTGACTGCATCATGTTCTTGGTTACAATCTCAAATTGCTGCTGCATCTTTGAGCATAGTTGCTTTATCATCTGTGTTTTTTTTTTGGGCTCGTTCTTTTTCGGCTTGTGTTGGGGTTTACAGATTGTAAAAATAAGTTTATATTTTATTAAATGTCGTTAGATTTTTTTATTAATAAATAAAACAACTTTCCGTTTTGCTCGTCATGTTAAGGCTGTCTTTATTTAAATTTCTTTCTTAAACCTAACATAGTTTCTTACAACTAATTTCCAATAGAATCTTATGTAATGAATCTATTGGTTGATACTTGTATTACTATCGTCTAATTGGTTAATCCAAATTAGACGTACATAATATTTTACAAATATAATTTATTTACATACTGGTCATTTTAGTCATATATATTTCACAGTGGCACACATCTGGTGACCAACTGTATTGAGGACAAATCATATTGCATGCATTATCGCTTGCAATATGATCTGTGAAACATTTAATACAAATTCATGTGCTGAGCATGCCGTAATCCAAATTGTCAAATGCATATTAGAACAATTAAATATGCATACAAATATTTTGTCATAAAGGAATGACAAAATAGACGAGTCAAATTTCTGACTCATAAATTATTTCATACTTGACAATTTGGGTTTTTCGGTCATGCTTGATATTTGAGTGTTTCGATTTGGTGTGACACATTAAATATCGCACACAACGTATTGTGTGTGGTCATGGTTAATATGACACTACAAGATCCTTTGACTATTGTGGCGTAGGTTGTTTTGGCCTCGGTCGTTTCTTTTACAGGCGCTGTTGTTGGTGGTGCTATTGTCTTCTTGGATTTCAACAACTTAATGTTTTCGGGATAGCTCTGACAGTCTCTGCAGTTAGCTGGGTGACTGCCGCCGCAGTTGAAACATTCGGCTTTAATGCTGATGTCTTTGGCATAGTCTCTGGTGTGATTACTCCCTGTTGAGTGTTATTCCCAATAAAACAAATTTTTGTTTAATATGATTAATAAAACAAAATATTATTTTGTATTATTATTTATTGACTACATCCGTTAGGTATGCAAATTAATTTATTTCTTTTTATTCATTCATTGTTTCTTAATAACTAACAGATACAGTTTTTGGATTTTCTTATCCTAAGCCAATTGTATATATATATTGTGTTTAGCTACAATACAGTGTGTAGCTTAGCAAAACTATATGTTATTGTTTATAATATAAAATATAATTTATAATATATTAATAATATATTAAAATAAAATATAATATATTTATATTGCTTATATAATTTATAAGCAATTTTTATATGCACTGCTCTTGAGCCTTAAACTCCAGATGCAGCTGTGTAAACAAAGAATATGCTGTGTCAGCTTTTTATCAATTGTAATGGGATTTTTGGATAAATGATTTTGTTTTTATATATTAAAAAACATAAACAAGACTTATATGAAATAATACTACACGAATGAAGACTTTTAAATTTATACTTATTGGTAAAGTTAAATCTGTTACAATTGCAAGTTGGACCAAGACTGACTTTTCTTTCTTTCTTTTATGTGGCCATAACAACGCGTTACCGAGTTTCGGCCTGACGCAGCATGTCTCCCCAGGTGCCTCTGCTGCGTGCGCGCCTTCTCCAGTCTCGTATATCAAGTCCAGTTAGTGCTCCCTCAACTTGATCACTCCACCGGAGACACGGTCTACCTCTACGTCTTCTTCCGCCAACTACTGCTTCAAACACCTTTTTCGCCGGAGCGTTTTAAAAGAGCTTAAGTGTATCAGATGATACAATTGAATAGTGTATATGTATATAAGCCTGCACAATGTATTTATATATACGTTAACACAAATAATTTTCGTTATACAAATCAACGCAGGTTCTTTTAACCGGACGACCGTTTGCGCTCTCTCTACTACTTCTTTTCACCGTCGTTGTTGCTTGCTTACTGCCGCTCAAAAAACCTTTTCTTTTTTTCGCGTTGCCAAATTCGGCGAGGGTTGTCCTGCGCCTCAAAATAGATAAAACCTTAAAACTACTATTACCTAAAAGTAATCGAAAGTGCTTCTTTTTCGATTTGACTATAACGAGCTTGATGAGTGGTTAAGTGTTTTTGAAGCAAATGCAATAGGTCGTTTGGAGCCATCCGGATGTCGATGAGCAATGACAGCTCCAATATCATAAAATGATGCATCAGTAGCAAGAACGATAGGCAAATGTTTTTGAAAATGTGACAACTCAGTTGCTTCTATTATGTGTCGCTTTAAAACTTCAAAAGCTTGCTCTTGATCGGTGCCTCAAACAAATTTGATATCTTTTCTACGTAAGTGATTGATAGGCGCAGCCAATTGTGAAAAATTTGGAATGAAGTTATGATAGTACGATTCGACTTCTTTTACGTTTTTCGGTCGCGGTAACTGCTTTACAGCCTGAACACCCTTTTCATTAGGTAAAATACCACTTGCACTGATGGTTCTGCCTAGATATTCCAATTTTTCCACCAAGAACTCACATTTCGTTCGCCTGCAACGAATGCCATATTCAGCTAAAAGTAATAATATTTCCTCCAGCCGCTTAAGATGTCAACCGTTTCAGCAGCGATTATGATATCATCAATGTAATTTCCACACCTTTCTGTACCATGTATAAGTTGTTCTAAATACTTCTGAAATAACGCAGATGCGCTGGCAATACCAAAAGGCAGACGCTGATACTGAAAAAGCCCCAGCGGTGTATTGACAACTAACACAATCCATCTGGTTTTGTAACCAATACAATTGGCGAAGCCCACTGACTAAATTTTATGGGTTTCCAAATGCCCCTATCCGTTAATCTTTGTGCTTCTGTTTCTGTAATTGTGCGAATGAAATCGGCCTACTTTTACAAAACTTAGGTACAGCACCCTGTTTTAAATGCAACCTGGCCTTAACTTGCTTAATTGTACCTAAAGCAGGTTCAAAAACAATTCTATGTTTCTCCAATACTTCATTTAATTGAGAATCATTGTTTGTAACGGCAATTTGACGAATCTCAAATCCAAAAAGTTCAAATAGATCAGTGCCAA